CCACTCCTCGGAAGGAAGGTTGGGCAATCCTACTTCCGTAGTGATACTGCCTCGGAAACCCAAGGAGGGGTCGGTATGAGTCGGGGCCGACTCGATGGCAAATAACAACAACAACAACAAAGGTGTTTGCTGGACTCTGGTAGTGTAGTGCCTAAGGCATTTGCCTGCTAACCAGAAGGCTGGTGGTTCAAACCCACCAGCTACTCATCACAAGGAGGGTTGGGCAATCTACTTCTGTAGTGATACTGCCTCAGAAAACCAAGGAGAAACTCGCTATGATTTGGGTCCAACTTGGCACATAACAACAACAACAACAAAGGTGTTTGCTGAGGAGCTCTGGTGATGTAGTGTATAAGGAATTTGGCTGCTAACCAGAAGGTCAGTGGTTCAAATCCACCAGCCACTCCGTGGAAGGAAGATGGGGCAATCTACTTCCATAAAGATTTACAGCCTCAGAAACCTAATGGGGGTTGCTATGAGTCAACAGCAGTGAGTTTGGTTTTTGAAAGGTGTTTTCCGGTGATCCTGGTCATGCTCTTTAGCATCCTCCTCCCGCCCCCTTCTGGTGAATTATGGATTCTGTCCCAATGTTTCTTGCCAAGTGAGGAGGACTCTCACCTCCCTGCCCTCCAGTAGTTTTTGATGGCTTAGGGCCCTGAAAGCCCTGTTCCACAGTCTATGTCTCTGTTCTCTTGTTTGATTTGAAGGTGCTCACTAGATATCCATTAAAAGTGGGTCTACATTTTGTGGAATGTAGCTACTTTGCCTATTCTAAGAAACCATCTGAGACTGGTCTTTTGGGACCTCTGAGAGCTGGAGTTATCTTCTCAGGATAAGTTGCCAGCATCAGCAGACCCAAAAAATCTTCCACCTCTTCCTTTCCTAGAGTCTGCTAATATCTTATAAGTGCATGTTCTCTCCTCAGTTGCTAAACAGACACAGTGACACTCCCTGAGTGCTTGATCCTTTTCTCAATGAAGTGACTCTTTTTCTAATGTCTCCAGTTGCTTTCCCAAAAATGGTGCCCCAGGAACAATCTCACAGAACTCTAGTCATTACAGTTTTATGGTATCAAATTCCTTAAGGTCATAGTAACAACAGTATGAGGAGGGTGCTTTTGTCCCACATTTGCATGCCTCCCTCCTCAACCAGAGCCCATCTTGACACTGAGGCCTTTCTGCCTCCACAGCATTTCTCTTATTTTACTTATTTGGTGTGGTTGTGGAAAGCAGTGGGGCTGCCTCTACAAGAGTGATCCCATTAAGGCTGAGGGGAGAGGTGCTCTAAGAAGTTCCTTTCTCCACAGCCCTCTTCCTGACAACCACTTTTGTCTTCCAGAAAAACACTTCTGGCCCCAATTCCAAAGCAGGTATGGAACTCTAAGGACTATGCCTTAGGCCAAAAGACTTGGTTGGGGGAGGTGGATTGAGCAGAGAAAAAAAGCAAGTGAGTCATGTGGAGATGACTTTTGCTCCCCAGGACTCCTGGTCTACTTTGCTCTTATTTTGTTTTGCTTTCTTTTGTTTCCACAATCCCTGAAGGAGCACTCTCCTGAAGTGGGGGAATGGGCGATCCCAACTGCTGGGAGAAGCACAGGTCAAAACCCAAACTCATTGTGGGTTGACAATAGGGGTGGTTTCTGATGTTCTGCTTGACAGTCTCAGGACATTGTTCAATCAAGAGTCTGTAGGAGAAGTTGAAGGAGAGCAGAGTTATCGCCTGGCTCATTTTCTCCTCCCAGACCCCAAGCTTCTTTTTGGCTCCACTCTATACCTCTCCTGTCAAGCTCACCACATCAGCCAGACTGATGGACACTTACCTCTGGTCTTGGGCATAGGATAGCCAAGCCAACTTCTCTGGGAAGAGACCCGGGAGTTGGGAGGCCACGGAGCAAGCCTACTTCCCAGCTGCTGGATGTGGTTCTCCATGTCCTCCAACCAATCTGACCTCCACTCCCACGTGGGCAGCAATAGGCTTGAGGTCGGAAAGAGATCATCCCGGGGGGAAGGCGGTGAGGAGGCATCTGTCAGGGAAGGTAGAGATGTCTGTCAGGGGTTGGCCTTCAGACCCAAGGGACCAGTTTAGGGCAGCTGGCTTATGGCACACACCCAATCCTAAAGCTAATATAGCCTCAACTCAGCCACTAATTCTAGTGACCATAGCCCTAGGGGCTCCAACCTCCAGGAAAAGGAATATGGTCTACTGGTCTCTTTAGAGAGAATATTTTTAAACAGTTTCCTCCTAGACCAGCTCTATCTTCCCTGGGCACCCTTCTTGCCCCTGCATTATGGGCCATTTTGTCTTGAATAATTTTTGCTCTCAAGTTTACCACAAGACTGGTTATTTTTTTGGGGGGGGGGACAAAGAGTAGAATTAGGTTTAGTAAGATGGGCATGGGGGAATCTGAAAAGGTTTACAGGGAAGGGAACACAGAATGGACATGGGGAACCCTGAGCTGCTGACATAGAGGTAGTGGCCCTATTCTGCTAGACACGTGAAGACATGATTGCAGCTGCTCTTCACTTCAGCCACTAACATGGCAAGAGGAAGGGTTTGAAACACAGCAGGAAGTCTGAGAGAAAATGGAATTTCCCAGTATTGAGGAGGCATATGAAACATTGGATAATATAGGAGAGTCAGTGGAGTCTGCATAAGGCATGGGAGCAAATCGTAAAATTGGCTACCTTGAGGCTTTGGAACAGTTTGTCCTTGTTCTTGTGGGTAACTGAGCAACTTAATAACCCTATATCACTTACAATTTCCTCATTTGAAAAAGAGGGATAAAGAATATTCCTTACAGAGTTGTTGTTAATATTAAATGTATGTCAAGCACTATCAAAGTGCCAGGATCACAGTAATTATCTATGAAGATGGCAATGATGAAGGTGATTAGGAAGCTATGCCTCTTGGTTGGGGAAAAGGGGTAGTTCTCTTGGAGCTGAATCCATTTTAAGGGGTGGGAGGTGAGGAATAAGACCCAGGTAACTTTGCATACCAGTGAAGACACAGTCTGCCTCCCTGGGCTCCAGACCAAGTCCAAAGCTGTCCACAGCCACTGCCAGAGCACGGGCAAAATGGGTATCGGCGAGGAAGGAGCCATCGGAAGAGCTGACGAGGCTGGCTCTGGCACTGGGGGCATTGTCTTCAGAGGCTGAGCCCCAGCCATTGGCCAATGAGCCCTCACTGGGTGTAGGGGTGGGGCAGGGGCGAGGTGGGCATAGCAGGCCACCCACCTCAGACCCTACCCCTCTTCCAGCCCTGCCCATGTCTGCTAGCTCTGAGGCTGTTGGGACACTGATATACCCATAGGTGATGGGGGGTGAAGGAGCCCTTGGCACAGGAGAGACACTGTTCCTAGGGAGAGGCAAAATAAGGGACAGAAAAATGGTTAAGGTGAGGTAGGATGGATAGTAACAGAAACACTCCAACTGAAGAAGGCTAAGATGGGGCCCAATAAGCAGAACCCTGAAGAATGCCTATCGATTGTTGTTGTTGTTGTTATGTGCCATCAAGTCGGACCCAACTCATAGTGACCCCTCCTTGGGTTTCTGAGGCGATATCACTACAGAAGTAGATTGCCCAGCCTTCCTTCCCAGGAGTAGCTGGTGAGTTTGAACTGCTAGCCTTCTGGTTAGCAGTCAAGTGCCTTAGGCACTATGCTACTTTGGATATCCCTCCGGGCACTCACCTGGGAGTCTCTTCACCCTCACTGAGCTCCAGGCACAAGGCCACCTCTTCAGGGGTCAGCACACTGTCCTGATCTTCCCCCAGGGATGACAGTGAAGAGCTGGATAGGCAACTAGAAGTTGGGCTGGGACCAGAGAGGGAAGAGGCCCGGGGGCTGGGGGGACTCGAGATGTTAAGGATAGGGACTGCTGGTAGTGGGAGGGAGGAGGAAGCTTGGGACTCCACCAAGTGCCTGATTGGGTAAGAGTGATTACAAGATGGTTAGTGCAGTTCTTGAGCCCCCTGTCCACCCCTTTCCCAGCTCCTATCTAGTCCAGTAAACATCCTCCCATACCCATAGCACTGCTTCCTGACTCCCTTCCCTCTTACTGTGTCTGTTGACTCTGAGTGGGAGTTCCTTGAGGAGAAGGTGGTACAGGGGGGAGAAGGCGAGTAGCCAGCTCATTTGAAGAGCTGAGGAGTTGGGGTCTCAGGGCTCGCCAGGCAACCAGAGCTCGGGGCACGGCTCCTAGGGAACAACAGCCCAGACATGAAGAGCCCTAAACCACATGGTAGAGCCCTAGCATCCCCAGACTCAATCTAGCCACTACCCATCCAAACTACCCACCCAGCCAGGATCTTCTCAGGGACAGAAGAAGCCATACATAGGGCTTGGGCTGGTGGGCCCCTATGCCCTGTCTTACCTCCTCTCTTCCCTCTTAGAGCCTACCTCTCACCTGGGCTTTGGGAAAGGTTCTTGGAGACTCTACTCCCCAATTCCCATGCCCAGAGCTCCATGGGGTGGCTGGCTTGGAGCAATGGGGAGCTGTTGGCCTGGTGTAGCTCTGCAAAGGAAAGAGTTGATGGTTGGAGGACAAGCCAGGTGGGCCTTTCAGAGCCCAACCATAGGGTCCTTCTTTAGCCTTGTTACTCAATTAAGCCTGTGGAGCCCTGAACCCAGAGAAAATAGGGAAAAACCTCCATTCATTCTTTCCACCCCTCCCCATCTTCATCCAGGTAGCTGTGACAGGGTGGAAAGAGCATTTGGCTTAAAGTCAAAAGACCTGCATTCACAGCCCAGCTCAGCCACATATAAGCTGTTTGACCTCAGACATATCCACTAACATTTCTGAGCCTTACCTGCACAATTGCTAAACTTCCTCTATAAAAGTTTCCTTTTGTACTTTGGTGGTTTGATTTTTATTAATTTCTCTTGTTGTATGGTCTAAGGAGTCCTGGACACTAACTTCAGGGTTGGTTCTCTAACTTTCCTATCGCTAGTTTTGTCTTATCTAGCATCTGGCTTCTTGACTAAGCTCAGAAGTGTGAGCACATGTTGGTTGGCTGGTTTGAGTGGAAAAGGAAGAGAAAGAGTCAGGCCTGGAAAAGGACATGTTTATCCCAGCCCATTTTGTTTCCCTCTAAGGGACCTTAGTAACAAAAGGCCTACCCCTACCTTGCTTGGAGTTACTTGGATTTTAGTTTCAATATACACTTGGCTTCGGAAGGGGTTGGGCAATCCTACTTCCGTAGTGATACTGCCTCGGAAACCCAAGGAGGGGTTGCTATGAGTCGGGGCCGACTCGACGGCAAACAACAACAACAACAACAAAACTATATAGTAAAAATGTTACCAAGGTGGATAGATGAGTGGACAGGCTGAACAATTAGGTATGTCTGTGCAGGGATGAGTGTAGTAAATGTCATGTGACAAAGTGTATGTTAACTGCTGTATGGAAAATGGATTTGCTCTGTAATATTTCACCCAACTCACAATAAAAATTAAAAAAAAAAAAAAGTTACCAAGGTAAAAGGGTGAGTCTCCTTAGGCATATCTGAATTGCAATAAATATTGGTTAGAATGAATTAATGAATGAATGAGGATATCCATTGTATATGTCTGGCAAAGTGAGCAGGACTAAGAATCTGATATAATGGATGAGAAAGGAGAGTAGAGTTGTGAGACTGCCAGTCTTTGAGTTAGTTGACCCAACTAACGTGAGAAAGCCTATCAGTTTGAAAGAGGAAGAAGGGTCAGGTTTTTGGACTAAGTGAAAGCAGTAGAGTTGAGGGAAAATCTATGGAGACCATATTTCTGCTGCAGAGGTCCCAGCAGCCAGAAGTGGAAAAGCAAGTGTCCATTAGCCAAGAGGAATTAGTGTTGTTGATCCATCCTGGGCAGTGGTGGGGTAGGGATGGGGTAAAGGAAAACTGGATGAATGAAAACCAAAACCACAGGTTAGGAAGCCTCCTCTCAGAATTGGAATCCTCCTTAAGAATTGCCTATAATTCCCAGGTGTATAGTAGAGCTGACAAGGGACAAGATTGTAGTCACTTCTTGGGCACAGCCAGCTACCTAGAGGGAGTGAGTAGTTGAACCTGTGGGTTCGGGACCATAGTCACAGGGGATATCAAGCTCAATTGGCATAACATACTACACAAAACATTGCTCCACTTCCTACTTTGGCAAGTAGTGACTGGGATCTCAAAAGCTTGCAAGCATCCTTCTAGATGCAATGATGGGTCTCTCCTCATCCAGATCAAAGAAGAATGAAGAAAACCAAAGATTCATGGAAACCATTATTCCAAGCGACTGGTACACCATGTGATCCTCAGCCTATATGACTATGAGACCAGAAGAACTAGATGGTGCCCAGCTACCACTGTCAGAGGGGGATCTACGGAGGAGATCCTGGATAGAACGGGAGAACAATGTGGAACAAAACTCAAAATCATTTGGGGAAAAAAAAAAAGAAGAAGAAGAAGGGGGACCAGGTTTGCTGGTCTGATAGAGCCTGGTGGAACCAATGAGACTATGGTGCCTAGCTGCCCTTCAGGTCTGGAATTGAACCCACACCTGTGGTTTCCAGCCAACCAAAAGACAGGCATATGAGTTGAGGATTTACCCAAGGTAGGTACACTCCTTGGAGAGAACAATCATGGGAGAAAGAAGGGCTATTTATGCACAGGGAGACAGCTTAGGGGGCTGGAGTGCATGGAGGGATGGACACAGGGAAGAGGTAACTATTGGGAGGAAGTGGAAGGGGAGCTGTTGCATTGTGGTAAATTTTGGTCAATGTCATGAGACAAAGTGTATGTGAACTGCTGTATGGAAAGTGAATTTGCTCTGTAAACGTTCACGCAAATCACAAAAAAAAAGAAAAAGAAAAACAATTGCCTATAGACACTGCCCCTTTGTTTTACTGGGGGCAGTGGTTATTCAGTGGTAGAATTCTTTGCTTGTCTTCCATGAGGGAGACTTGGGTTGGACTCCTGGCCAATGCATCTCATGTGCACCTGTCTGTCAGTAGAGAAGTGAATGTTGCTATGATGCTGAAGATATTTTAGAGGAGCCTCCAGGCTAGGAAGAAAGGCCTGGTGATCTATTTCTAAAAAATCAACCAATGAAAACCTTATGAATCACAATGGTCCCATCTCACTGTACATGAGGTTGTCGTGATTTGAGAGCTGACTCCACAGCAGCTAACAATAACAAGTTTTACTGATCAGTACAGAAGATTCATGGAGACAACAGGTAGGGGGCAGGCCAGGTTTCAGACATAACAGAAAACAGTTAGTGAAAGAACAGTGTTTCCCAAGGGAACTCACAGAGTTAGAATAGACTTTGGAACAGATCATGCAGCTTCAAATTTGAGCTCTGCAGCTTATTGACTTGTGGGATTTTGAACAAGGTTATCGTTCTGAACCTGTTTCCCATCTGTAAAATTAGGGAAATAATATCTAGCCTAAATGTTATGAGGACTAAATGAAATAACAAATGTAAGTTATGCACCTAGCATATAGTAGTTGCTAAGAAAATGGAAACTATAATCATTTCTCTCTGGAAAATCCAAGCTGGCAACCTGAAGTCAAGAGAGAAATCTGGCCCAGAAAGGAAATACTCATTTTTCTGTGGGAGGTGATCTGGTAGTCAGGTGCCAGAGCAGACCTGTATTTAGTGCACAGGACCTTCATTCTAGCACTGATTGCATTTTGCCAGGCTCTAGAATTATTTGTATACTAGTTAGCCACTTTGATTAGACTGAATCGTTAGCAGGAAAGGGCTGTATTTGCTATTTCTTGTGTCCTCCATGACTGGCATACCAAGGTGCTTATTAAATGTTTGCTCAGTTGAATTGGATCCAGGAACAGGGCCTACTATAGCTGCAGCCAAAATGAAAGAAGAATACCATATAAAGAAAAGCTTTGATGACAGGGGAAAGAAGCCTATCTTCCCTTCTTTCCGGGAAAGAAGACGTAAGCCACGGGTAGAGTGCAATCCACACCTGGCCTAGAGGCCAGAAGCAAGTTCCCACCACATTCCCGTTTTCATCTCTCTACCACAGCTTTAGGCTCTGCCTATCTCTCCATCTTTACCTTGCTTCTTTTTGGCCTTCCAGGCCTCTGCAGGGGCCAGAGACAAGCGAGGAGATGAGAGTCCTCGGCGGCTGCAGAGGTTGTCTGAACTGGGCCAGGGACTAGAGACCCGGGCTAGCTGGGGCGGGAGGCACCTGACAGCTGGGACCTGGGGGCTTGACCAGGCTGGGGGGCTGGAGGGCAGCTCAGCAATGAGGGAGCCATAAAAAGTGCTGGTGTCTGGAAGCAGGGGCACACCAGGGCTTCGGGGGTCCCAGGAGATCACTGTGATGAAAATGACATGAGGAAGTATGGTCAGTACATCCCATCCCATGCACCCCCATCCCTTGTGCTCCACCCCTAAGCCCTTGTCCCTACTAGGCATGCTCACAGGAGCGACGGCAGTCTAGAGGATCCCGGGGGTCAACTCCGAGCCGGCTGCTGAGGCTACTGCTGCTGCTCAGGTCCCGAGAGCCAGAGGTGGAACGCCAAGTGTCTGCCAGCCAGGGGGAGTCACTGTGGTCCATCCTGGGGCAGTGGTGGGGTAAGGGTGGGGCAGGGAGAAAGAGGAGTGAAGTAAGAACCTACTTGGCCAAGACCTCCAGCTTGGAGGCAGCAGAGGAGTTGAGTTGTCCTTCACAGACCTCTAAAACCTCTGACTTGGTGGCCCTAACTCAATGCCTCTTTATCTCTTGGGACCAGTGAAAGTCCAAGCTGCCAAGAGCTAGGAGGTATTAATGAGACACAGCTATGTGTGCTGAGAAAGCGAGATCAACAGGTCTAAAGCCAGATATGAGTTAGCTATGGAGCTCTGTGTAAGCAAATCTATTAGCCTCTCTAAGCCTCAGTTTCCTATCTGTAGAATGGGAACAATAGTGCCTTCCATATAAGGTTGATGCTGTGAGGTTGAGTGGGGAAATGTGAGGTCACTCAGCTGGCAGAGCAGGAACTTGCTGCATGAATATTAGTTTTTTTAGTCTTGTTCCTTTTGAACCAAGCACCATGCTAGATGCCTAAGAGATTTGTCAAGAACAGGGATCTGACCAAGGCAGTTCTCTGCCCCAAAACCTTCAATGGGTCCTCATTTACCAAGAAAGAACCCCACTGACAGGGCTCTCAGCTCTCTAACCTTATCTTTTGATCAGATCCATCTCACACCAATGCCCTAGCCAGATCATATGGCCTTCCCCTTGGATATAATAGTCTATTTCTTGCTGCTTCCTCTGCCTTTCCCCTTCTTACTGTCAGGGTAAATGTAGCATCTCCTTCCTCCTATGTCTCTCCAGTCTAGCCTCCTCCATGTGTTTTGTACACACTCCTGTCATGGAGCTGCCAACACCTGACTGTACTCGTGCTTACGTGGCTGCCTCTGCCTAGACTGAGAGTTCCTGTCAGATGGAGGTTGTTCTGGAAGAATGAATGAACAAAACGACCAGATGGGAATCTCCTTCAAGGACAAGGGAAAAGGTCCCAGGGGAGCCAAAGATGGTTCAGGGCTGAGTTGATAAAGCCCAGAAAGTTGTTGGAAGGCAAGGGCCAGAGAGCCAAGGAAAACAGCATCAGCCAGCTTGACATCTTGCTCTGGGTGGAAAACTGGCAGATTGACTCCAGTAAAATGGCAGCCTAAGGCTCAAATGTGTCTGACACATAGTAGGTGCTCAAGAAACATTGTGGAATGTGAAGCCTCCCAGCAGATATCTGGCAAGGCAAAGAGTAGGAGCAGGCAGAGTAGACAGATCAAATGGGTACTTAGTGTAAAATTCAGCCAATGGGAGTAAAAGGGGTGCTTTCTTTCTTAGTATATTCTCTCACAATCCCAGATTTGCTCTGGCAACCATACCTCTAGCTAGGTAGGACCTTGTTTCAGGGAATATTGATGAGGATCTGTGATGTAGGGGGAGAACGCCCTCTGCTGGAATAGTGGGTAGATTACAGCGAAGTAAAGAGCACTTGATTTAAAAAAAAAAAAAAAAAGAAAGAAACTCACTGCCAAGTTGATTCCAACTCATAGCCACACCTCCTTGGGTTTCTGAGGCGGTATCATTGCGGAAGTAGATTGCCCAGTCTTCCTTCCAAGGAGTGGCTGGTGGGTTTGAACCTCTAACCTTCTGGTTAGCAGTCAAATGCCTTAGGCACTATACCACCAGAGCTCCCAAATTTAGTATTTATTGAATGTAAAAGTAGACACTGGCTATGCAGAGAAAATTAGAAATAAGATCTGGTTCTCTCATGTTAGTCATCCTCCTTCCAGTACAATGAGACAGCAGGAGAGTGCAGTGTGTATTAGTGAGAGGTTGGTGACAAGAACAGTGGATTAGGAGTTTGGAAGTCCGGCTACTAGTTGTGTAGCCATATAGCCTCAGGCAAAGCCACTTGAGTTTTATAAGCCTTAGTCTTCTCACCTATCAGGTGGTATGGTAGGAACATTAATGAAAGAGGAATTAATTCTCATTTGGGGTTCAAGAGAGATCCAGCTACCAGGATCCCAACTGAGTGGCACTAGGGGAGATGAGTACTCCATCTAATTCTCTGTCCCCACCGCATTGTCCCATCTGTACCTCCCCCACCCCAGGCCCCTCTCTTGTCTCTCACCTGTGTTTTAGGATGGCATCCTCACTGGTATATCGGTACAGACCTGGGAGAGGGGAGGAGGAGGGTTAAATCCAACATCTCCATCACCTGGCTAGAAATCTAATCCCATTGCAGCATTTTGGCTGGACCCAAAGGGTATCTGACTACCTGGGGTCCCCACCTTCTCACCTGGGCCCAGGTGCACTCCAGCTTGGCGCCTGCGGTAGACACACATGGCAGTGCCCAGCAGCAACAACCAGAGCAAGACTCCTGCGCTGGCGATGACCTCTGGCCGCCTCAGAGTGGCCCTCACCTGCTCCAGGGACCAGGGACCATGGTCACTGGGTTCTTGGGCAGCTTGCTCCATGGCCTGCTCTGTATGGGATTTGGAGCTCAGGGGGAGAGGCACATGAGGCGATTGGGATGAAGCATACAAGGAGAGGAGGTGGGCATATGAGGGTAGAAGCAGGGAGGGAAGAAAGTAGGAATGAGGGTTGAGAAGTATGGGAGTGGCTAGTATGCACTGCCCTCACCTAAAAGGAGGCAGACAGGGCTACTGGGCTCTCCAGCTCCAGCACCAGTGACCGCAGCCACTTGCACACAGTAGGAGCCTGATGCATGGGTGGCGATCTCCAGCTGAGTCTGCTCTCCTGCTACAGTCCAGTTGGCTGAGGGCAGTGAGGTGTTTCCCAGGCTCCAGACCTAGGCACATGCAGAGGTGGGTAGCTGTTTCCTGGCACCATCCCAGCTGCTGAGGCCTTCATATCCAAATCAGACTCTGGGCACATGATTAGTCTACCCTGCCATCTACTTGGAGATACCCCCATATACATCCACATGTCCTATTTCCCTCCCCTCTCCAAAGCAAGAGAGATGTCTCTCTAGCACTGACAGACCCACCCACTGCCATAGAGCTGATTCCAAGTCATAGTGACCCTATAGAATAGAGAGAACTGCCCCATAGGTTTTCCAAGACTATAACTCATCACAGAAGCAGACTGCCTCATCTTTCTTTCACAGAGTGGCTGGTGGGTTCATACCACCAATATTTTGATTAGCAGGGAAACATATAACCACTGTGTTACCAGAGCTCCTTGCACTAACAGAAGAGGGACTAAATAATCTACCAAAGTTTGCCTTAGAACAAGCTTCCCAAACTTCACAGTGCTTCAGAATCACCTTGAGCACTTGTTAAAATACGGGTTACTGGGCCCCATGCCTGAGTTTCTGGTACAATAGGCCTGAGGTGGTGGTGGTGTTCCTTGCCAAGGATTTGGCTCTAGTCTCTTGGTGACCCCTTACACTTGTTGTAAATTGGGGATATAATCCAGGTGGATTGGGACATGAACTGAGATCATGTAGGTAAAGTGCTTGGCAGTGTCTGGAGGCAATAGGTTCTGGCTCAACAAATGTATGTTTCCTTGGCTTGCCTGCAGAGGTCCTGTGGTCCTGTTTCTCAGTGCCCAGAGCAAGAGTACGGAGGACCCCAGGAGAGACAGATGCCCTGGTTCCTCCAGGAAAGAATGTCAGCTTGTGGGCAATACCTGGTAACCACGGATGACGCCATTGTGGTTCTCTGCAGGTGGTGGGACCCAGTTCACAAGGACACTGCCATTGCTGGGTTTCAGGGTCACCTCCTGGGGAGGGGCACTGGGAACTGGAGGGGAGGAAGAGAGGACATAAGGGATAATGAGGGAGATGCTGTAGGGAAAAGAGCTGTAATAAGGGACACAGAGTCAGAGTCCCAAGGGTCTGAGCCCACACTTATGTGAACAGGAGCTCCTTGCATCTCTGCTTGCCCAGTCTGGGCAGAAAGGAGTCCAGGAAAAGGACCACTGTCCCACCTACCCCATCCCCGCACCTGACTGGAGTGGGACAGAAGAGACAAGAGGGCCTATTGCTGAGTTGCAGGGGTTCTGTCCCTGACCTTGTTCTGGCAGCCTCAGAAGCAGCACATTGCTGTCAGGGCCTTGAGCCCGGCCGGAGGATGGTCTCACTTTGAACTCGTAGTCTTGGCCCCAGTGGAGGCCCCCAAGCTCTGCGCTCTGCCAGCCCGCCAATAGGACCTCTGCCCATGGAGCTGCCTGGCCTCCTGAGGAAGGCTGGGCCCTGAATAAGGCCGTGTAGGACTGAGCAGGTGCAGCAGGGCCACTCACCTGAGGGGGACATTCAGGAGGAAGGGCAAGGGTTCAGGGAGCTCATGATCAGACCTTTCTTGGGTGTAGGATTGGGTTCCACCCTTAGGTCTTGAGCCTCACCTTCCAGCTGAGCCACACAGCAGGCCCAAACTTGGGGCCCTTTGCAGGGACACGGTTCAGTAGAGTCACGTTTTCCAGCTGAATGCGCACAGCCAGGAGCTCCAGGGGCTCCCTGTGGTCCTGGTGCTCTGTGGGAGCATAGAGCTGACATGGGGCTTACAGGCCAGAGGGAGGGAATGGAGGAATGGGATATCCCCCAACCACCAAGAAATCATAACTTCCCAATTTCCCAGGTCTGAAGCACTCCTAAGGAGTCTTGATGGTATGGTGGTTCAGCGTTCAGCTGCTAACCAAAACTTTGGTGGTTTGAACCTACCAGCCACTCCATGGGAGAAAGCTGCGGCAGTCTGCTTCTATAAAGATGTACAGCCTTGGAAATCCTGTGGGGCAGTACTACTCTGTCCTATAGGGTCACTATGAGTCAGAATAGACTCAATGGCAATGAGATTGATTTGGTTTTAGATCACTCCTGTGTCTACTTTAGATGGAGAAATCTCCTACTCAACACTACCCCAACTCAGGCCCAGGTTGAGCCCTGTATACCCTAACCTCCACCAAGACCAGACCACATCACTGTAATTGGAGCTCCTTACCTTGACCCTGACTTAAATGACCCCACCCTTACCCTGGACAGACACCCTGGCTGCCCGACTCTCCCGCTGTCCAGCATTGTTGGTGGCCACACACATGTAGGTCCCTGAGTCGCTCTTCTCTGCTCTTCCCACCAGCAGGGAACCTTTGGACACCTGTCAGGGCCAGGAACATTGTGATGTCTCCCATGTGAAGAGGGGCTCATTGACACCCCTTCTCTCATTCCACCCCAAGAGGTGGGGTCCAGGGGTACAGATCAATCTCTTAGGGTATGCCCAGATGTGCCCAGGATACAGTGAAGTTTGGGGCAGGGACTATATACTCACTGTGTGCCGCTCTGGCTGTAGGGCCAGGGGTTTGCCATCCTTCCACCACAAGACTGTGGGCTCCGGGAGGCCCCAGGGCGGCCTACACTCTAGAATAACCTGCTCTCCCACCATGGCCACCACGTCCTGAGGCTGGACCTGGAAGTCCTCCCAGAGGACTGTGGGATGGTTGAAGGATAGGTGAGGAGGCCCTGTCTCAGCTACTTCCCACCACACTTACTCTACTCTTCACTGCTTGTGTTCACTCTTCAGAGTTCCACAGCTCAGGCTTTCCAGAAAAAGCCACCCTCAACCCAGGCCTCCTCTCACAGACATCCTCTCACACTTTCCTCAGCTCAGGCATCCCACCCCAGGTGTGCCCTACCCTGCCCTACAAGACTCTCACCGGCCACAGACAGCCGAGCACCTCGGCTGACAGCCGTGCCCAGCCGGTTGCTGGCCTCACAGGTGTAGACACCCAGGTTTGTAGGTAAGGCCTGGTCATCATAGGCACTTCCCCAAGCAGGGGGTCGCATCAGCAGAAGGGTCCCATCAGGAAGGAGATGGTGTAGGTCTGGGGGCGTCATGCTCAGAGGTTGCCCATCCAGGAGCCAGCGAATGGTGGGAGGTGGCTGGCCTGAGGCTTGGCAATGCATCTTGGCAGGGCCAGGACCCTGGAGCAGCTGGTCCTGTGGGTGGATGAGGATCTGGGGTGGGGAGTCCTGAGCCATGCCTCCTAGGGATAAAAAAGGACAGCAGAGCTCAGTATGAGTACCAACAGGGCACCCAAATCCCTACCCCACATGCATCTGCTCTCTTTTTCTCTCTCTCATACACACACACACACACACACACACACACACACGTACGTTTGGCAAATCACCACCACCACCCTGCAAAAGGGAAGCAAAAGAGCCAGGGAGCCTTTTCTCCTCTTAGGCAGACCTTGTATCAGGACGTGTGGGCTAGAAGATCAAGGGCCACACTCACCCACATAGAATAGAAGCAGGAAAGGCAGAGGCCACCCAGCCCTGAAGAGGCCCGCTTCTCCTGGGCCCATGACTGCTCTCAGGGCTCTCTCTCCTTGTCCCAGGCACTTTGTCCTACTGCTCTGAACTCAACAGCAGAGGGGAAGGAGGGGTGGGGCTGATGGTGGTGGTTGTTTGTGACCGAGACTCTGCCCAGGAGGGAAGCAGCTTTGAGGAAACCGATGCTTCCTGTCTGGCCCTCAGTGCCTTGGAGAACTGGGACGGGACCAGAGGAGTGAAACTCTGACCTTGACTCTTTAGCCATAACCCTTGACCCTAACTCCAGCGCTCAGGTTTACTCTGTGATCCAGTCTACGATTTCTTAATGGTAATCCTCATATCAGCCATAACTCCAATCATATCATTTAATCTTTTAGTCCTAAACTGATATTTAGACCTTATCCCTGAATCTTACTTCTTATCCCTTTGTTTCCAAGTCACCCCCTGCTAGAGTGAAATGGACACCCAGAGGTAGGATCTCCGGGTACAAGGTTAAGAAGCTAAGGATAGAGAGGAAAAGGGGTCTTTGAGGTGATGAAGCTAAGTGGAGGGAAGCAGAAGTGTATTGTCATTCCAAGTTCCACTTCCCCAGGATAGATGAGGGTAGAGTGGGGAAGGATGGAAGACAAGAATGAATCAGAGCCTGTGGAACTACCTGCGAGATTCCCACAAAGCACTTTTCCATATTTAGCTCAGAGAAAGATGAATTAAGCTTCTGTGAGACCTTGGGCCAGTTACTTAACCTCTGCAAGTCAGTTCCCTTATCTGTTAAGTGGGAATAATGGTAGTAATTTCTACCTTGAGGGCTGGAGTGAAAATGAAATGAGATAAAGTATAAAACCATTAAGGATAGTGCCTGACATACAGGAAGTGACTAGTAAAGGTTTGTCAATATTCTTGTTTATTCTTAGGCACATCCTATCATTGAAACTATCCAAGCATCCTTGGCAGACATGGTTTTCAGGATGGTAATTGTAATAAATGACCTTTAAGAGTCGTTCTGGTTCTAACAGTTAACCAAGGGAGATCAGGAGGGCAACATTTGCCCAGGGAGAAAGCCAGGCAGGCAAGAATGCACAGGTAAGAACGACACAGGGAAGGGGAAACCACATGGAGGAGGTGGGAGGAGAGCTATTACATTGTGGGAGTTATAATCAGTATCACAAAACAAAATGTATATGAACTGTTGAATGTAAAATGAATCTGCTTTATAAAATTGCACCCAAATCATAATAAATTATTTTTAAATGAATGAATGAGAAAGATACTAAAAAATAAAAAAGGAGTTTTTCTGGTTCTGAAACCCTATGTCTATCACTGATAGGCCTTCTGAGCCTGCTCCACCCCCTCCTTAGAGAGTGGCCACCCTCCCCAATCAGAGCTCAGAGCCCAGCTCCTGTTTATAGGTCTCTTCCTTCCAAATCTGGAATCTCAGCCATTTCCTGAAGCTGTTCCCGGAAGGCCAAAGCCAAACCCTGGGGGCTCAGCGGAAGAGTGTCCAGCCTTTGTTTCCAATTGTTCCTGGCCGGCTCCTCTATGGGGGGTGCAGGGTGGGGGGTGGTGCTCACCCAGCTGACATTCCCCTTCCCCCTTCCAGCCTCTGTTGCCCCCATCAGTCCCAGCTACAGCCCTAACAGCCTAAGGGAGAAGGACCCCAGCACTCCTCCTCTTCTTTTCCTTCAGACTGAACCAGAGCCAGCGAACACCATGGTCTCTGCAAACTGGGGAGTCCCATGGGGTAAAGAATAGATCTAGTGCAAGTAGCAGAGACAGAGTTGAAGGTATAAGAATTGGGACCAGAGAATCAAGTTTGGGATTTCAGACATGTAAGAACTAAGGGTGGTGATGAGTTCCAGGGCATGAACATGGTGTATGTGGTAGGCAGAGTGGAGTGGAGTTTATGAAATCACAGAACTGTGGGGCCAGAATGATGGAGAATTATGTTTGACTATGTGGACACTGAAGTCAATCAGGGACAAGACAGAAATGATATGGTGAGACAGGTGAGATATACATACACTTTGGAGTTTGCCAAGTAGAGTCTCCAAGCCTGTCTGACCCCCGACTGCCTGTTTCCCAAGGAACTTGCTGTCAGCAGGTCTTCTTTCCAAACTCAAAACCAAACTCACTGCCACTGAGTTGAACCCAACTCATAGTGATCCCTCCTTGGGTTTCCAAGGCAGTATCACTACAGAGGTAGATTGCCCAACCTTCCTTCTGAGAAGTGGCTGGTGGGTTTGAAAGGCCAGCCTTCTGGTTAGCACTCCAATGCCTTAGGCACTATGCTAACAGAGCTCCCTAGTCTTTAGTGTGTTCTATTTCTTTATCGGATTTGGAAATCAAGTTTTCTTTTAATGTTTTAATGACACTTGATTTTATTCAGATCACCATAATCCAGCCCTATTGTTGGTTCTCTTTATTACTAGTTTCCTTCAGAGGATAAGTCTCACAGGAATTCAGATCCATGACTACTAGTCCTGTCCTCAGCAGAGGTGAGTGAAAATGGACAAGATTGGACAAAAGAATGGCAGAGAGAGAGAGAGAGACCAGTGCAGGTGTGGAGCCTGTGGTGTAGTAAATTACCTGGTATGGCTTTTTTAGCCATAAGTCTTTGTAAACTCCATGGTGGAATTTGCTGTGAGCAACTTAGGAGCTCCTGATTGTAAATGCTATCCACTGGGGGTATTTCTGTAGGGAGTGGCACAAAGCAATGTTCTGGGAAGTTCGCTCTCTCTCAAGTGCTTAGAATTCTGATGTTATGATTAGCTAGTTTGGCCACTCTGCCAGGCTCAAAAGGAGGCCTCCTAGAGGCAGAGTTCTCTCTGACTGCTGGCTGAGAAGGATGTGCTGTGGAGAGAAATACGCTCCTGAGAGACACATGCTGCTTGGAAAGAGATGCAAGAGACATGCATTGCTGAGAGAGACACCGAGAGATAAACATTGCTGAGAGAGTGGCTGAGAGAGACTGTTGGCTGAGAGAGACTGAGCATTTTTCTTGAACTTGAATTGTAGCCTGGTGCTTCCCTAATAAACCCCATAATCTGTCAGTTCTGTGTGGCCACTGCAGTGAATTATCAAACCCAGCAGAAATGTGGTGAGTGCTGCGGGAAGAGTGGTTGGTGTCAGGGTTGGTGAAAGGGCTGGAGGGAGGCAGCATGCCTGGCCTCGCAGGAATAGGTCTTGGGCTACTGATGGTGACTCTGTCTTCCTCTTGTGGGGTTAGAGGAGGTCAGGAGATGTGGCCTCCTTGCCCCTTTAGTAGAGCCCCAGAGGCTACTACAGTCTGAGGAATAGCACCTGCCCCACAGTCACATGCCCTACCCCTGGAGATCACTGCCAACACAGCCCCTCCCACTTCCAGACTCTGGAGAGCCAAGTTCTAAGAGGGGATCAGGGTTGAAGGGGTGAATTACTGGGAGCTGTTCCTGTGGGACATTATAACAACTCCCCATTTAGTCCAAGCATCCAGGGCACTCAGGGATGCATGAAATGATGGCTGATGGGACTTCCCAGCAGTGAGGTGTGTCTGGATGTCTCCCAAAGACCACAGCGCTCATTTCCAGCATCCTGGCCCCTTAGCATCCTGATTGTCTCATTTCCACAAACGAAGGAAGAGCTGACTGCATGAGTCATGGGGATGATCAGGGTGGATTACTCAGTAAGCAAGGTAAGCACAGGCCTACTTGTGCTTAATTACTAATCTGCAGTGAATAGGTTCACATGTTTTCCAAGTGAAATTGTTCACTACAGATTAGTAAGTAAGCACAAGTAAGCCCATGCTTACCTTGCTTTCTGAGTACTCCGTCCCTGTCAGGCTTTGATTCTATAGGGATTGGGAGAGAGAGAGAGATGCCAGCCCTACTTAGAAGCAGAATCTTTGATATGGTGAAAAATGTGGAATTGTTCACTATAGTGTGAGTCAATCTGAAGCCAGAATTCTAGCAGCCTCCAGGAAAATCTTTAACCAGAAACCTTTTAGTGTCAGTAGTGCTAACAGAACTTTTGTAATTCTAAACACTCCTTAGGGCTTTTATCTGCCCTCCAGTCTCAGCAGGTATCAAGGAACTTCCTCCGAACTCAGCACGCATCACAAAAGCCACCCGGATTCAGCACGTATCAGAGATTTGCGAGGCTCCTAAAAGTCTTCCCCATATCTGAGCTGCATCCTCCCTAGATAATATTTTCCTAAGTGAACTTTGGAGCTGGGGGGAGTTTCTTTATGCCCCCCAACATCTTAGATCACTGCCCTGAATCCCTTGGCAACAACCAATCACCTGTACCCCCTCGCCCCGGTGCTGCCCCTCCTCATATTGTCCTATAAATTGAAGAAGGAAACGGGGTACAGGGTCTTTTGCTTAAGCGCAAAGACCCTGACTTAAGTTGGCTAATAAACTGTCCTATTGCATTTGCATTGGCGTGGGTTGGCGTCTTCTTCTCTTCCGAAATTCTCCTTTACAGCCTGGGCACAACAATAGCTTAGTGAGTAAGGCTTACAGAGTCATCTGATACTATGGACCAAACTCAGTGCCATCAAGTAGATTCCAACTCACAGTGACCCCTCCTTGGGTTTCTGAGGCAATATCTCTATGGAAGTAGATTGCCCAGTCTTCCTTCCAAGAAGTGGCTGGTGGGTTTCAACACCAGTCTTCTGGTTAACAAATGCCTTAGGCACTATGAGACCAGAGCTCCTAACTCCTTGGGAG